TCATGGTGTCTGTTTTTATTTACCATTTAACTTTTCTGTGAATGAGTACAATGGTGGACTGTCTACCATTTACCATGATTGTGTTCCAGTAAAAGATTAAGATAAGTATTTCTTGGTCTTTCAAGGTAAATAATTGTACGAAATGAATAAATTATACCAATGTGTCTAGTGAATGCTAAAATTCTTGTGTATAACTGAGGAAACAGAAGCCAGAGAGTGCTTCCCTAGTGCAGTAATCCTTTAATAAATTAAATGAAAAGTAAAAGCATGTTACAAATGTGTTGTTCATAGCCACAAGGGGTACAGCCCAAGAAACGCATTAGCCTAGCCCTGTGTGCTGAGGGATTGGCACCCCTGCCATTTGGAGTTTCATACATGCTATTCAGCCCGTGCAACTTTTGGATCTTTGGTACAGCTACCTCCTCATGTATCACATGTACTCACATTTAGATTGTAAGCCCTCATGGGCAGGGCCCTCCTTACCATCTTGTCTTGAATTGTATTGTGATTGTAATGTCTTCCTTATATTGTAAAGCGCTGCACAAACTGTTGGCGCTATATGAATTCTGTATAATAATAAATAATAATAATAATACAGCTGTGTTCTACTGTGCTATCATGCAGAAGGCTTCTTGTACATACACATTTGTGAGTATGGTTTTACTTTTCATTTATGTTTATAAAGGATTACTGCGCTAGGAATGGCGCACTCTGGCCTCTGTTTCCTCACTATATGATCAGTGAAGTCTCCCTGACCAGGGCCGTCTTTAACGCGGGGCAAAGAGGGCGCTTGCCCCGGGCCCATTCATGGCTGTGGGGCCCAAAGCAGCTGCCCCTTGAGCCCGCTGCCCGCAGAAACTTGCCGATCGGATCGCATAGTATAATACGTTATGGCAGCCGCATACGGCACTGCCATAACTTATTGTTGTCCTATGCGATCGCATCCTAAAGGTGTAGCTCCTCCCCCGACCGCGTAGCGCAGGGATCGGCAAGGTGTCCGTACCCCCGCGGTCGTACCGTAGAATCAGCACAGGAAAAAAAACCTTCCTGCACGTAGGCAGGAAGGTACCAAAACATCACATTGAAGATCAGAGCCCTAGTTTAACCAGGCCTCTGTAGGGTCTGACCAGCACCAGGGTTCTGTAGGGTCTCACCAGGGCTATGTGGGGTCTCACCAGCCTGGTTAGACCCTTCAGAGCCCTGGTGAGACCCTACAAAGCCCTGGTTAAACCAGGCCTCTGTAGGGTCTCACCAGCACCAGGGTTCTGTAGGGTCTCACCAGGGCTCTGTGAGGGCTCACCAGGGCTCTGTGGGGACTGGTTTGACCACACAAAGCCTGGTAAAACCCCACAGAGCCCTGGTTAAGCCAGGGCTCTGTAGGGGCTCGCCAGGGCTCTGTAGGGTCTAACCAGCTTGGTTAGACCCCACAGGGCCATGGTTAGAGCCCAAAGAGCCCTAGTGAAATCCCAAAGAGCCCTTCAGAGCTCTATAGGGTCTCATCAGGACTTTGTAGGGCTCTGTGGGGGTTAACCAGGGCTGGTGAGACCCCAAAGAGCCCTGGTGAGACCCCGCAGAGGCCTGGCTAAACCAGGGATCTGTGGGGGCCTCACCAGGGTAGCAGACCTGTGGAGGGTCTCAACAGGGCCCTGTGGGGTCTAACCAGCCTTGTTAGACCCCACAGAGCACTAGTGAGACCCCACAGGGCCCTGGTTAAACCAGCGCTCTCCACAGCGCTCTCCTTAGGGCTCTCCAGGCCGCCACTCACCATTACTGTGCTGGCCGTGTCTCGGGGGCGGGAGCTGGCAGGAGCGTGCAGGACCAGCCGGTGCCGACATAGTCTCCATCTGCTGCTGAAGATAAACTCCAAACTCCCAGCCAGAGATCCTCGTGTGGTGGTGAGGTCTCTTCTCATTGGCTGGTGGGCAGAGCTCCAGAAGACCGAGTGGATGAACCGTACAGACAATCGAGGAAACGTATGAGCGCTCAGCCTTGTCACTGTCAAACTGAGAGTCTCAGTTTGACAGCGGCAGGGCTGAGAGCTCACAACGTTACCTGACTGCGAGCGAGGTGATGTGCTGTTCCGATAGGGCAATCAAGGCGCCCCTATTATTCATAGGGGTGTCAGGCCCCTATGAATAATAGGGGCCCGACGCTGAAGTGCTCATCTCACTCAGCAGCTGCTGCTGCTGCTGTTCCCTGTTCCCTTCCCCCCCAGCTCCAGATCATTGCTGGCTTACCTTACCAGTGCAGTGACTTGACTACACACAGGCTTTGCCGCTTAGCCTCCAGCTGTGAGAGCTCCGAGGCTGCCCCTGGGGAAAAAAACCCTTCCTGCCCAAAACATCACATTGGATGGGGGGTTTGGGACGTACCAACTGTTCCGTACAAGTCGTACGGAACAGTTGGTACGTCCCAACCCCCCCATCTAACCAGGGCTCTGTAGGGTCTCGCCAGCCCTCCTTAAACCCCACAGAGCCCTGTTGGGACCCTACAAAGCCCTGGTGAGACCCTATAGATTAAACCAGGGCTCTTTGGGATCTCACCAGGGCTCTTTGGGGTCTCACCAGGGCTCTGTGGGATCCCACCAGGGCTCTGTGGGGTCTAACCAAGCTGGTCTGTGGGGTTTCACCAGGACTGGTGAGACCCCACAGAGCCCTGGTGAGACCCCACTAGTTTAACAAGGGCTCTGTGGGGTTTTACCAGGCTTTGTGTGGTCTAACCAGTCCCCATAGAGCCCTGGTGAGCCCTCATAGAGCCCTGGT